CCGAATTCGCATGGTGTAGGAACAACTGTTAGCTGCAAAAGGTACTTCAACCATTATCGTACGTCACTGACACGGATTGTTGAAAGAGCCAAGAACAGGAGTGTAGCAAAATGCCATTCAGCATCCCGGCCTCCTGAATCTAGACCACGAAACAGCAGCAGCGGCAGCGGCAGCGCGCATCCAGGTTGGACATTGTCATGTTATTAGCGCAGGTGACCTTGAGTTGTGAGCCAATCAGGTGTAAGCATATAAACTAACAAGCTGGCGCAGAAACAACGAACTGTTTTAAAGATGCGTGCGAAAAAAGGTACACGATGTCAGCAGACGCCAGTCTCACTTGAAGCGCTGCAGACAAAAAAACACAGAGGGCGTACGCGGAAGCAGACATAGAAAAAAAGAGAGATAAGGTAGCATAAGCCATTATGTTATCGGCTTCTTATCAACTGTCCCGAAAGTTTGGCGTATTTGCAATCTTAGAACAGGGCCAAAAAGTACAAAGTATGGTAAAGAACGCCGTCGTTTGAAGAGAAATGTCAGCAGACTCCAGAGTCACATAAAGCGCTGCAGATATAAGGGGGCGCAAACTCGCCCTAAAATTGCCTTTTCACTGCTGAATTAGAACTGAAGTAGATAAACTGGGGTGTTTTTATCACAATGCCTAAGGCCTTTTCTGGTTGTAATGTGAACAAATGTTGCTAATTAACAGCCTCGTACTCTCAGACAACCATACGAAGCCCAGGATATTGAAATACACAATTATCTGTGTACTAGAAAATAATAAATTAGGCAGTGCAGACAGGCCAGTTCTAGGACGCATTTCAAACGGAGAAAAAGAAGCTGCCTTTATTGGCCCGACGTTTAGAATTTTCGTTCGAACCCATCATTATAGAAAGTCACAGATAAGGGTGGTGAGTGCATCGGAGGGTGCAGTATTTAAAGGGCGCAGTTGGCGATGAACTCCCTACCAGAGAATGTGGCACTTTCTGTGAGCGTGCAGTGCGTTGATTGGTTACTTCGTGCAGGCTGCTTTTTAACATTATATCATTGTAGATTGATTGCCATTCTTTTTACTTATTGTATATAGAAATGTTGTTGATTAATATTTTATAGCTTTTCCTTTCCTGCATTGTCATTTAACTGATCAGGAAAACACCCAAACATCAAATTGCATGAAAGGCAATCAAAACATCAATTACAAAACCCAATATCCACCCAATGTTATCAAGGTCTTTAAATAGTGCATGCCCGCAGTTGGCATGCCGCCATGTGCGTAACCCAATTAGCCGACCCCGCATTCGCACATGACACGATGACTGCTCATTGGTCCCCGTCGAAATATCGTCACCGTCCTCGCTTCTTAATGTGATTACGGCATGATAGTTTGACTGGCTGTCACCGGAAACTCTGGTAACCTACATCCTCCCGCGTGGTCTGGGCAATGTCTCTGCACAGAATATGGAACCGCCAAGTCGCTAAGTGCGTTTTTTAATCGACTGCGGGCTAGAGAACCAACAAGTAAGCAGTTCACGGTTCACACGGCTGTCAGCCGCTGTGAGAATTTCGATCTCCTCAAACTTAAAGGTGTGGCCGGTCCTCGTCGATTGATACCCTCGTCATTCTTATTTGTGACTATATCTGAGGATATTTTCTTGCGAGAATCCGAAACCTCAGGCCAATAAACGTCATGGTCCAGTGGCATCATCATCATCATCATCATCATCATCATCATCATCATCATCATCATCATTCTTTTCGTTGGACATCAACTGCACCTAAGCGTACAAATGATGCAGCTGATACCTTCAGTAGGGTTTGCCAGTTTCGGCAAGTCAATATACACAAAGAACACACTTAGGACGGATTTTATGAGGTGAAGGATATTGTAGACCTCTGTTCTACCCTGTTTCTGGCAATCAAACTTGAAATCATAGCAAAAAAATGTTTTAAGAGAAACTAAACGCTGCGGCAGACCTAAATAAAACCGAGGTCTCTCGACAGTCCGGTGACAGGCGCCTCCTAGATACACCTCCAACAGAGCAAGCTTCCTCTTATAAATGTAGCCAAAGCTTCGATATCGCCGCCTAATTACGCCTTGTGTGAATCCCCAAGGAGGAACACAACGAGAAGACCGCAAAATTAGAAGTCATTTCTCAAACTTGGTACAGCGTACAAGAGTTGGACAAATGAGATTGTGGTCTTAGGTAAGGCGCGACTGCATTGGCTTTCTGACTCACGCGGCCGGCGTGTTAGAGTCATGAGCTTGGCCGCAGCTGTGCGCGGCGTCACGTGCATTGTGGTTGAGCGACGAACTACGACGAACTATCAGAAACAGTTTGTAAGGCTGCCAACTGAAGCAACAAAATTGTGTAAATTCGGCTGCAATAGTTCATACTGAAAACTTGGTATAGGTGGAATTTAGGTACCAAGTAAAATAACTTAATGTATCGTTCTGCTTTTGTCAGTCACTGCGAACGTGCCCACCTCCGACAGAAGGTCATTTGTGCGGGAAGATGGTGTGTGAGTAAGGTGCAGTACAAGGCGGCTTCAGTGGAGAGAGTTTCATGCGAAAGTCGCTGCTGGGTTCATCTTGTGGGGGAGGGGGGCGGGAAGGTGTAGAACTTTTTCGCCTACTGTTTAAGAGTTGCAAAAAAATGCCCATTAGAGATTTCAGAAGAGTAGTTGGCGAGCGTACGTAGGCTTCAACAAACTCCCCCCGCGTAACAAATTTCCTTTTATCGATCGCTTCTCCTTATTCCCACGACTTATAAAAAGACGAACACGTTTAACCTTTTACTCCTTTCCCATATAAATGTACTGGCCCGACGAGAATTTATCGAAAGCCTACGTACACTCGCCAAATACCCTTCAGCATTTTCTAATGGGAATTGTTGCGACGTTAAAGCAGTCCAATAATCCCACGGTGTTAATGGTATGTAGTGGTCTAGTCTGTCCGACGCCCTCCTTACTCTTGACACCACAAACGAGCATAAGACCTCGCGCGAAAGCAGTGTTCCCGCGCTCCCAGGCTAGTCAGCCTTCGCCCACCACAAGGTCGCGCCACGACCTCTAGTCTAGACATCAGCTGCCTGATTGGCCGCCGTAACAAAGCATGCGCCGGCGATTACTGATGCTCTAGTCACTCCGGCAGCCTGGACTGCCGTCTGCCGAGTGTCAAAACTCTTTCCATCTATTCTTTTACTCCTCTGCAGAATACACTATTCCTAATAATCTGGCTTTCCCATTGGTCTTCTCTCTTCACCTAAAGGAACCATGGGCCTGGAAGATCGTAGCTGTTAGGGGTAACCTTCTAAGCCTTAACACCTGTCGATAGGTTCACTGTCTTTCTTGGACGTCCTCCTAAGTAGAACTTTTGACGGTAGTCTCCAAAGAAGCGTTGATCGGAACGAAACGTGGCCCGGACAGTATACAGACTTTAACAGTTTCTTACCCATCCAAAAGAAACGCAGTCTAGTCCGCTGCCTAACGGAAAGGGCGAGAAAGATTTTTTTGGGAGACGACATTGAGATGGAACTTAAGAAAATCCAGGACCTGCCTCGTGAGAACGGGTATCCTGAGAAATTCATCACAAAGAATGTAGTGGCGGGAGAAACAAAGCCTACCACACCCACTGTGAAAAAGAAGACTTTATTTATAAAAGATCCTCTTCAAGGGGGTGCGTCAAGTGAACTTCTAAGAAGACGCCTGGACCAAGCCCTATCACGAGCCTTCCTAGCAGCGAGGTTTTGGTTATTATTCTCAACTAATCCGGTCCTGCACAGGAAAGGAAAAGATAGGTTGCCAGCTCAGACTACCTCCGTGTGCATCTACTCGTTCACTTGTTCCTTTGGAGTAGGTTATATCGATCGCACGCGTCGGCGCTATCCG